CTCTCTCTGTTGATTTCAGCAGCCAGTCAATCATCGTTTTGTCCAGGTTTGGTTCCGTGTGGTGTTTCGCCATGTGCCATGCCTTCAATCCGGCCAAGTACTTCGCAATCGTTCTCGATTTTAATTCTCTACCTGGTCCTGCCACTTTCCCTACTTCTGACGGTCCTGCCCATACGATAAATCCGTACACGTCCTCTACTGTCATCGGCTCTTCATTCTTAAACTCTCTCCCTGTACTTTCAATATACGCCTTAAATTTCTGAACTGCACTACTGTATCCCTTCAACGTCTTTGGCTGCCACGCTCCTTTTACTAAGTGTTCTGTTATAGTTTCTTTCTGCTTCTCTTCTCCTTCTATCTTCACTGATTTGCTAAAACTGACCGTGTCCTTCTTTTCCTTTGAGTTCCTTGTCATTTTTGTATTCGTATTCAATCAGTGGCTTCAGGTCACTTGGTATTTCTGGTTTGAGGTAGAAAAAGATTGATTTGTTTCCCCTTTCACCCCTCGATAACTCATCCGCATTGTTGTTGCCTGATGCGACGCGTCTCTCCTCTAGCTCACACCCCAGGTAAGTTAGCCTTTTTTGTAACTTTTTCCATTCCTCATTCACTGACCGATCTCTCGACTTATGATTTCTAATCACTGCCTCAGTTCCGGTATTGTCAGTTATCGCTAAGAATCTATGTCCTTTTTTTTCGAAGAGCATCTTCACCATCTCCAGTCCTATTCGAACCGCGACCGTTTCAGCCCAAGCAATTCCCCTCTTCAACCCGTCTTCTTCCCTCTGGTCCCAGCCTTTCTTATACTTTAGCTGTGTCCAGAACTTTCCGACAATTACTCCAATCCCGTAACTCGTTGATGCATCTCCGATCCAACCCACATTTTCAATACCTTTCTTCGGTATCAGCTTGTGGTTTTCAAAATTTGCCAACACCTCCTTCCATTCCATCAAGTCTGTTCTTACTGTTGCTGGTAATTTTCGTGTCGCTAGTTTATTTATCCAAGATGCCTTCAAACTATGCAGGGCCATGCAGAAGCATTTCATGTGCGGTAACATGTATGTAACGTGAACTAGTCTCCCCGTAAGTTTCTCAACTTCTTTATACGTGTGTGAGTCCTTCTTCTCTAGGGCATAATCTATTTGTTGCATTCTCTCCTTCTTCTTCGTTTCCGGTAAACGTACTGATCTTTCTCTACCATTCCAGATAAACCCGATGTACTTCTGTTCCTCGCTAAACTCCGAGTATTTGCCTTCGTTTGTCTTCACGCCTAAACTCGCGCTCGCCTCTACTACCTCTTTCATCGACACCGGCTTTCCCGTTTCCTTCAATCTTACGAATAGATTGTCATCTACCCACCGGAACACAGCTATCAGTTCGAACTTTGCTTTCATTATCGCTCTCCACGCATCCGCTGGTCCTCCGAAACTGCCGCAGCCCGCTACCCCACCGAAAGTTACTCTGAGATCTACCAGAATCCACCCTTCCGGTGTCCTCACCATCAAGTATCGCCATTGATTCGGCTTCGTTGGGATTTGGCGGTAAGCCTTTTCCCAGTCGAAAATTCCCACCTCTACTTCTTCTGTGAGTTGACTAAAAAATTCCGCTACCCAATTGAAATCGTCCCAACTGGTTTCAAATTCTTCTTTATTCACCATCGAGTTTACTGACCAGATCTCTCTCTCTCTTTTCGGATACGACAGATTGTTTATCACTCTCGTCGTTCCATCTCCGTTTGTCACCATCCCCATTGGACTCGTTCTGAAGAACCTAGCTTCTCGTATACTTCCTTCTCCGTAAAAGGTCCTCTCATCCTTCC